ACCCAGCTGTTGCTCAATATGTCGAGAGTTGGCCCATGGGTCGGCGGCGCCCGAAAGGGGGGAATGGACAGCAGGACCAGGCGGTGGCTTAGTGTCCTCTTCCATGGCCACGGCGGGGGCTTCGGGGGCCGCACTTCCTCCTGATCTGTCTGGCCTGCGCGTGCGGGTCGGTGGCGGGCGCGCAATGCTCCGACCTGCAGCTCGATGTTGCGGTTGGGGGGCACCTGCAGGGCCTTGACTGCTGAAGCCCCCGTGTGGCTTTTGTGGTCGAGGTGTTCGCGAGCAGTGCGTCGGCCATCTTTACGGGGTTCTTCCCTTCGACTCTGGCGGCCATCGTGCCGTCGCTCGTCGCGGCGAGGACCTTCGCGGCGCAGGTGGCGGCCCTCTCGGCGGCTGCGGGACGTGGAGCCGTTGGAGAGGTCGCCCCTGTCAGAGGATGCGGCGGACATGATGTTGAAGTACAAGCAACTGGCATGAGTGTGCTGTTCAGCAACTCGCCACTGGCCAGGTCCACTACGGATCCACTGCGTATTTGACTGGTTCTTGTTGACTCGCGCGGAGCAGCACACGACGGGGCGATATGGATGCACGGCACAAGGCTCGATGCGGAGGTGCATATGGATGTCCGGCGCGGGGCGCGAGACGATATGGCTGCACGGCGCGAGGCTCAATGCGATATGTCTGGCGGCCTGCAGCGCCAGAAAGGTCAGCAGGAATGGACGGCAGCTCGTCCCTGGTGTGGCTGCGAAATGGTGGGCACTGGCCGCGGACTAGCGGCGTCCGCGCTGCGATCGCGATGGCATGCCATCTTGAGCCAAAACGGTTACGGGAGGAGGGCAAGGGGGAGGAAGCGGAGGAGGTCGAGCGTGCCCAGAGGGGTTCATCCATGAGCGCCCACGCCTCACCTCTGGGCCCAAAAACGCACAGTGGGTCCCTGGAGGGGCAAACGAATCGCAGCTCGAATCGTCGAGGCTCGCACTCGCGCACTGCCAAACTGAGGCGCCAGGCGATGCGCATAGAAGAAGGCGACAACAAAACTAAAATTGCATCTGCATTAAATATCGTCCTCACTCGGGCCTGGGGCGATCTCGACTGGGAAGAGACCAAGGCGAACGAGCGCATCAGCGGGGACGCCCCTCGAAAGCACGGCGCGGACCAGGGCCTCCAGAGGCCTACACTCCAACAGGTAGTGCGACACGGAGTCATCAGCAGCGCAACCGAAAATACACCCGCGCTCAGAGCGCTGCATTCTCCTAGAGGTCGTCCATCCGCCTAGCCAGCTCTTGAGACAAGCCGATGCCCAGGCCAGAGGAAGCGCCTTCAGTCCCTCCCGAATCCCCCCCCCCCAGTCCACCAGGCCCACCCACCCCCCGCGGAAGAAACCATTTCGACACCCGACGATCGAACGTCCGAGCAACGGCGGCACAGAAGAGGCGATCCTGGAAGATGGCCGAGAAGCGCGCCTGCCAGCGGGGGCGCGCGCCTGCACGAACGACCTGCTCGCCACCAGGTGCCGTTCCTTGTCTGAACAAGACACAGCATTCAGCACCTGCACTGGCCAGAAGCGGATCCTGGGGAAATCCTGCGGCGGCCTGGCTGAGAGAGTAGACACTGGCAGGAGACTTCCAGAAGGGAGGAGCAAGAGAGGGGGAGTAACGCCAAGTCACGGACCCGAATTCGAGTGTAGCATGCTGAAGCTGCGCGAGCTGAACGTGCCACGACGGGGTCGAGACCAGTGCCGCTCTCATCAGCGAGGCGCAGCCGAGGACCCAGCTCGATGGAAAGTCAGGCCCGCCCCACCTCCCAAGGCTCACCCACCCGTCCCACGTCAGAATCGAGCTGGCCGTTCTCCAAATCGAAGCAAAACGGTGCCACTCCTCGATAGCCAGCGACCGAGGGAGGGGGAAGAGCTGCGCCTTATACGAGAGAACAGGGAGCGCACGAGTCTTAAAGTAAAAGACGTTAGTGCTGAGATCGGCCGAGGAATCACTGGCAACACGCACTCTGGCACGAAGTTTGGCCCACGGGGCTTTCCACTGGTCATCAAGCGTCACCGAGGGGCCCATAAGTGTGCCAAGATACTCTAAGCACGGGACAATCGCAAACCCCCTCCACTCAGGCACGGCACGGGCGATGAATGCACGCGCACGTTGCTCAACACTGGTGTCACATGACCCGAAAAGTGGCACAACCTTACATTTGGCGACTTTGAGGACGAGAGAGGCGAGGCGGGAGGCAAGCGAGAAACTACGCGCTAGACGACGGAGACCTGTGGCCGTGAATACAACCGAACCTACATCATCTGCACACGCGCGCGAGAAAGCATGCTTCGTGCCCTCGGTCGTGCGCTCCATGTCCCACAAGAATGGGTTCGAGGCGAGCACAAAGAGGGATCCGCTAAGGGGGCAGCCCTGCAAGACTCCAGCAAGGACGAAAAAGAGCGGAAGATGGACGCCCCCCTCATGGAAGACGCAGAGATTCAGGTGGTACAGGCATTGAATGGCTAGGGTGAGCCCAGGAGGGAGCTGGAGAGACCGCGAGGCCGAGAGGAGCCAAGACTGGGAGACACTGGGAAAGGTCTGCGCATAATCAAACGAGATCAAGAGGGGGAACCAATCCTCGGGGGCATTTCCACGCTGGGGGGAGTCCTTCATGACAGAACCGATCCGAGCAAACGCGTCCAACTCAAACACGTTCTTCAAGAAGGACCTCCCCCTTATAAAGCCATTCTGCATACGCGGGCTGACCTTTTGCACAATCGATGTGAGAGGCCAGTTAATTGCAGCAGCTACACATTTGTTCAGCGTGTTCTTCAAAGAGAGCGGCCTGGTTTCATCCGCGGACCTGGTTAGAATAACTGCCTCGGCGTCCTCTGGCTTATCTCCTTTGGCCAGGAAGGCCGCGAGGGACTCAAAGAAAGCCAGCGGAAGAGCCTGCCCAGCCGCGAGCGCCCAGAAGGCTTCCATGACCACCAGAAGGCCCCGACCTACCGCCCATGTGCTGTAAGCGAGACCATCGGGCCCAGGGGCCGAATCACACACTCGACGCAGGATTTTCCGCACCAGGTCAGCATTGGGCGGGGGCACATCTTTGAAATCGACAGAAGAGGCGAACCGTGCAGCATACAGAGACGCGCCTGCAGCGGGGGCCGACGGGGTCTGGAAAACCGGCGCCCAGAAGGCCGACAGATTCCTGACCTTGGCCTCCGGAGACGACGCCACTCCAAGGGGTCCCGAGACGGCTCCCAAAACACAGGAGGAAGCGGAGGAGGAAAACGAGGAGGAGGAGGAGAACCAATGTAAATCCAAGACCTACCAACGATATTGCAATAAACCCTCCATTCAGGCTCCTTTCAGGCTCCGTCTTCAAAGGTCCCTACAAAGACTCATTCATGTTCATTGAAGGACGTGCCCTGTTGGAAAACAACCAGTCGAAAATCCTGAACTGTGCCAGAACACCATTCGTGGGACCACCAAGCCCCGAATCACCGTTCCTGTCGCGTACTGTCGGTCCGAAATAGTGTCATAATAATACCCTTGGGATTTCACAACAAAAAAACAACATACATGTTGCGCCCTGACACTTCGACATCGTGCGGCGCCAGCCAGAATATTCCTTAAGGCTGGTTTGAAGCCTGTACAGGAATATGTGCGGCGCTAAAGGAGCCACATCTAGAAAATGAGCCGCCATCCGTTCGTGAAACCCATGAACTTGTTCAAGACGAATGCGCGCGGCGCTAAAGCGATAGCCACATGTTAAAAAACACATGTCCTCAATCCGTGAAGCTCTTGCAAAGTCTGAAGACGGATGTGCGCGGCGCTTACGCGAGAAACACATGTTCAAAGCGGCCCGCCCTCCATCCGTGAAGCTCCTTCCTTTCTCTCTCTCTCTCTCTCTATATATATATAATATATATATACACACACTAGAACCATCGCGCGCTTCGCGCGCGCTCAGGTTCTAGTTGAGGTCACCGCTCAGGTGCGATGCCCGCGACGATTCTTACCACGAAGACGGCGGCGTGCACTCCGTTCATGTTCGCACGCCATGTTCCGGAGGAACGTTCCCGGAGCATGGGGCGCCAGAGGCTCCCCCGCTCTTCCCCCCTCCTGGACTATCCTGCCGAGGAACTCTTGGGTTGCGTAGGGCCTGTCTTGCGGGCTCCCTGGGGCTCCCTGGGCCCGCCTAGGGCTGTTTGGGAGCGGACCTGGAAGCGCGCTGGGCCCTAGTGGAGCGTCGGAAAGCCGAAAAGACAAGAAGGCCAAGATCCTCCAATTCCTACGTAAAATGAACGATGTTGGCCTGTTTTTTTTTCAAGCCGCACTGCGTTCGTGTTACAAGCCATGCTCTCTTCACCTCTCGCGGGCTCCGCGCAAGGTGCCGCGGAGCGCATATCGCGAGGATCCCAGCGGGTAGCAGCAGTCGTCGAGACGCTCGCTGGCTTCCGTCGCACTGGCAAAACTACGCGCGCGCGTGCGCGCAAAGAGGCGGTGCGCGCGCGGGGTGAAAAGCGGGAGGCAGCCAGCGCGCGGAAGCAGGAGCCAAACTGGGGCACGCGGAGGAGAAGGGAAGGAGGAGGAGAAGGCTCGGGGGTCCTGAAACAGTGCAGTGAGAGACCGTGCCTCTGATATATCCCATTATGCTAGAGAGGGGCGAAGCCCTTACGGATAAAAGGGGGGCTACAAGCCTCCCAGACGAGGGAGCGCGACCACAGAAGTTTTGTCTCCTGGTGAGACTATGGTCAGCTGAACTCTGCGGACCCGCGTGCCGCAATTCAGCACGAGGCCAAACATCGAGAGAAACTGATGACCACGCAGGGTAACCAACGGCTGACCATCGAAGGAAGCATCGCGTATCACGATCCTCGGGTAACAAGTCCATCTCCTCGGGTAACGCATCAGGCCAGGCTCGGGGACTGCGTCCTTTGATCTGCTGCCTGCGTTAGGCTTCCCGATTGACATATTCCTCCACCTCCTCCTCCCCCTCCACCTCCTCCTCCTCCTCCTCCTCCCCCAGGGTCTCGCATGCCCTACGAGTACGCACGCCTGCAACGCCGATACGCGAAGCAAGCAACATAGGGTGAAGTCCGCCGATTTCGCGTCTGGGAGAATTTGCGGTCGAACTGACCATCTTATGACGGCGGTCTCAATCAAACTCACCATCAGATGGCTAGGACCGTACAAAAACGAATACATGATCATATATTCGATGATATGACAGTCAGACAAGCGTCAATGTTAGCCGTAAGACACCCGTCCGAATCAAACCGACAAAGCACACAATAACAAACACATACCCTGGGCCGAGCGCAAGAAACTGGCTGACGTGCCGATTACTAGCTTGCGCCAAGCTTAACGGAGCGAGCCTGGGGCGGATTGGAGGAGGAGCTGCGGAGACGGACAGCAGGTGCAGAGGCGCGTGAAAAACACTGCCTTGGCTCCTCATCGTCTCCAACCCCTCCATCGATGTCCTTATCACTGATGGTCCTCCTCGTGCTGCTATTTATCCCTAGCCTCCTCCGACCGCCACAGTGGGGAACATATTCGAATTGCAACGGACGAGCCGCCATCGGAACAGGTCGTTTGTTCACCCTCTTCCTCCCCGCAGACTCGTTGTTTGGGCGCGCAAGCAGGCCAACATGTAACCACCTGGTCTTGGGACACACGAAGAAGCAAAACCAAGTCCATCGATGCCTTCGTCGATGGTGTTGGCCCCTCAACCTCCACCCCCTCATGTTGCTCACCCCGAGCAATCAGAGGTAGGTTGTCTACTCTCAGCAAGTAGGCACCACAGACAATACCTAAATGCTGCGTTGTAGCCAAACGCTGCGTAACAGGAGGGCTGGCCCCCCGCGTGGCGGAAGACGTTGCCCACCTGCCGCAGAAAGATTTCAAACGCGCGCCAGGAATGGCAAAAACGGCGGCTTACGTGCACTTCTGCTCATCGCCCCAAGAGACGGCCGGACAAGAAGTCAGGCCTTGCCCACATACTTAAGAAGAACCTGAAGGTCAGGATTCCCTATTTCGGGACCTGGCAATTTAGAAACAAAACCGACATGTGCACGGAATGGCCAGTGACAGCGGAGCTCACAAATATCGCTATCGTGAAGGACTTCTGTTTGCGATGCACATAGCTTGCTCGAGAATCTCACGCATGGCTGTGTAGCCAACCTTTGGGATGTTGAAGTGCCCCAGGATTCGATTGCCACAGGCGACAGAGGCAACGTAGGCATCCCGCGCAACCACGACTGTGGCGCTGGGCTGCATCTTCGTGCCGGTCGCCTGCGCCCTAGACACTACTTGCGCTCGAACATCGAAAGGTGGCTCTCCCCGACAGGGCGTGCCGAACAACCCCACGCATGGCTGTACAACAACGTGCACGTTCTGGCTGTCCCAGGGGAAGGAGCCGCGAATGACACACTGGCAACGGAGGCAAAGCACGTCAGTTGTGAAGAAGCCATGGTCACGCTTGACTATCTGAGGTGTCAACTCTCGGTGCCTGCTGGGACCGAGTCAAACTTACAAGCAAACAACAAATTAACAGCAAAGAACCTCAATGGACTCCTTTTGATGCAATGTCCTGGACCGAGAGCTTGCCACAACATCCATTCCAGGATAAATGTGGCATGTGTTCGCTAATTTGCTCCGAGGCCTGGTGCCAGGGGAGGGAGGAGAGGCACCGCGCGGGAAGGCCGGCGACTCTGTCGCCTCGCCGCCGCGCTCGCCCCCCTCGACCGGCAGGCAGCTCGGCTGCGTGGGGCGCCCCGGCGGCTGCTGGCTGTGCGATTGAACGGCAGCTGGCGCCGACACGAAGCGCCCCTGGCATGCACATCGGGAACTGTACGGGAACTGTACGCTGGCATGCTGAAGAGACGAGCGAGCCGCACCGAGAAGGCTAGCTGCAAAAGCTCGTCTACCAGCCAGCGGAAAAAGGGGGCGCACTTTCCCTATCTTTCCTTGCGAACCAACGGCCAGAAGACACTGGGGGCGGTTCGCCCTCCATCTTCACCTCGCCCACCTCGACTATCCCCTCAACCACCCCTGCATTTCACGAGGGCGATGAGAAGTTAGCAGGCTTGCCCTGCTTCGGGGCAGCTCCACCTACTAGGCCAGAGGCGCGCTCATCGTGGCGATTGAATGTTCGACCTCGCTACTGCTGCATCTTCGCTGCTTCTGCGTCTTTCTGCCATGTACCCCTTTTGAAGGCCTCCGTCCTTTGTCCCAAGGTGGTCCAGGATCGCCTTGCTTTGCTTCAGGAGCAAGATGAGCTCCGTGGGCTTGTCCTGCTGCGTACGCATGATGCCGTCCACAAACTCGTCGATATCAATGGCACCGCTGCCGTCGAAATCGAGCATGCGGAAAATCTCCTCCATCTGGTCCAAGTCCACGATGCGCCTCAACTGCTCTTTGAGTTCTTCGGGGGCATTGACCAGCTCATCCAAGTCAACCTCACCGTTATCGTTGGCGTCTAGTGCACTGAAAATGCTCTTCAGCTTCGGCATCATCTGCTTCTCCCAAGCCTTCTCCCAAGCCTTCTTCGCATCGTGGTCTTCCGCGGCGCTCCGAAAGAGCGCCTCGACCTGGATGGCGGTGATCACGTTCATGAGGGCGATGGGCCCGATAAGCAGGAAGATGAGGAAATAAGTGCACAGCCAGGGATTGTGGGCGATGATCGGCCTATACACAGCCGAGACACTGTCCAGAGTCATGCACTGGATAAGGAAAGTCATAGCTTCAAACAAAGTATCAAACCTCGAAGTGGCATCAGCGTAGTTTTCTGGGGAATTCGTGTCCGCGGTGATGAGCTCCATACCCCCAACGGCGAAGACGTACACAACAACCAGCATGATGACACTTGTCCAGATCATTGGCATAAGGCAGCTCATGAGGCCTTGCACGAGCATCCACAGCGTGCGGAACTGCCTCAGGAGCCGCACTACCCTGGCCAAACGGAAGCGCCTGACCATTTTCAGCATATTGACATTATCCGTAACTTTGCTTGCACCCTCTTCTGCCGATGTCAGATTGATGAGCAAATTCAAACCACCTGAAAGGACAAGACCAACGTCCAAGCGTATCCAATTATTTCCGAATACCTCCGCCAATCCGACGGCGTACACGCGAAAGAACAGCTCGCACACGTACGCGAGAAGGAAGATGTTCTCCAAGACGTGGATCCAGGTCGGGAGGGACTCGCCATTCCGGCTCAAGGTGGTCTCTATGCCGATCGTGACAGCATTTATTATGACAATGAAGCCGAATGCGAAGTCGAAGTTAGGGTTCGCTACGATAGAGAAGACGAGTCGCCTCCTCTCATCTATCACGCCGTGGAGCCAACGAAGAAAGACAGTCTGCTGCGCTCCATGTGGTTAAACAAGTTACGCGCTGCTCGCTCCTTCATCTCCTCCTCCTCCTCCCGCATTAGCTTCAAAGCGAACTCCTCCTCTCGCGACAGCCTATCTATTGGGCGGCTGGCCGAAAGTCTCTGGGCACCGCCACGATGACACGAAGGATACCGACCGAAGCCGATGCTGAGTGCCGAACGGAAGCTGCTGCCACGAGGCCTCTGCGGGGCATCGGGCAAGGTCAAGTGGTGCTCCGTGCGGTCCGGCAGAGAGCCCGAGCCCGTCGAGCGAGTCGAGCTCAGGCTCGCGTGGCAGTCGAGCTGCGCAGACGCCGTGGCCGTGGACAGCTGCCCGCGGCCGCTGGTGGCCGGCCCTGCGCACCTCCCCGGGCCGCTCGGGCTCCTGCCCTGCGGTGGCGACCTCTGTCCCCGCAGGCCCGTCGCGCGAGGGACGACGGGCGGGAAGGCCTTTTTTTCGCCCTGCGATTGGCGCCCGCCGCCTCCTCGTCGCTCGCCGCCTCCTCGGGCACGCCAGGCATGGCCGGGCCCGAGGGCATCCGCACCACTCCGTCGGAGCCCTCTCGGCGCCTGCTGTGGCCCTGGCCTTTGCGGGCGGCAGCAGCGCCAGCGGCTCCAGCCCCTCGGGCCCGGGCGGCTCCACGATGGCGGGCGGCGCCGGCGGCGGCGGCTCCGGGATCACCAGCGCCCTCCCGCGCATCTCCGCCCCGCCCGGCGCCGCAGCGGCCTCGCGGCGGCCGCGTGCGCATCGCTGGCGCTCTCCGCAGGCTCCGCCAAGGGCGGATGGCGCTGGGCGGGGGCGCCCTCGTGGGCTGCCTGCAGCTCCCTCTGGATCTCCTTCTGATACTCGCGCTTCAGCTGGCCGATCAGGCCCGACACCGCGGAGCGCACGACGCCGTCCACGAAGTCGCCCTGCATCAGGCTCGGGCCCAGCAGGTGCCCCGCCATCGCCAGCGCGGGGCCCTCGGAGCGGAACCTGCGGCGGGCGGCCAACCGGTTGCGCCGGGCACGCCCTGGAGGCGGCAGTCGGAGCCTCTGTGTGGCCTGAGCCACGCCTGCTTGAGCCAAAATGGCTACGGAGAACGATGTTGGCCTGTTGGGACCCTCTTGGGGGTGCTCCTGGAGGCGTCTTGAGCCACGTTTGAAGCCTCTTGGGAACTACCTGGGGCCTCCTGGGGCTCTCTTGAGGCGGAAGCCCTAGGCTTTCCGGACGCGGTCCGTCTCTTGGACACCTCTCGGGCCTGTTTTGGGGCACTCGTGGGCTGCCCTGGGCGCTTCTTGGGCCAGCCTTGGGCTCTCTGGGACCGCCTCGGGGCGGCCTTGGGCGCTTCTGGAGCTGTTTGGAAGCGGTCTCGGAGGCCTCCTGGGCTGCCTAAGGAGCGTCGGACAGCCGCAAAGATCAGAAGGCCAAAACCCTTCCAAAGCTATTGTAAAACCATCAACTTTTGGCCTGCTGGGGCCCTCGTGGGAGTGCTCTTGGAAGCGTTTGGAGCCATGTTGGGGGACTCTTGGGAGCTGCCTGGGGCCTCCGGGGTCACTGTTGAGGCGGGAGCCCTGGGTGTTCGGTACGCGGTCCCTCCCTTGGGCCCTTCTTGGGCTTGTTTGGGAGCCTTCTTGGGTTGTTGTGGGCGCTTCTTGGGCCAGCCTTGAGCTCTCCGGGGCCGCCTTGGGCTTGTCTTGGGGGCCTCTGGGGCTGCTTGGGGGCGGACCTGGAGACCTCCTGGGCCGTCTTGGAGCGTCGTACAACCGAAAAAAACAGAAGGCCAAAATCCTTCCAAAACCGTCGAAACCCATCAATTTTGGCCTCTCGTGGCTCTCTTTGGAGTGCTTCTGGAAGCGTCTGGAGCCATGTTGGAGGCCTCCCGAAACCTCTACCACGTGCTTCGGCGACATGGGTCGAAGATGGGAACCATTCCTGGTGCAGAAACATCACCAGGGTCCGTCCAGAGCCGCTCGGGAAACGCCCCGGAGCGGCTCTGGAGAGGCCCCGGGGGGGGTCCCCCCATGGCGAGTCGAGGCAGCTGGCCAGAGGCCCCCGGCCCCGTACCCCGACAGATATATAAACGAATGTACGCGTCGTCAAGGCGAGAGCCACATTATGAATCCGACCCGCTCTTCATCCGTGAAGCTGTTGCAAAGTGTAGCTTCAGGATGATGGCTGGCAATGGCGTCTCAACAAAACGCCCAGCCCGCCCTTCCGACTGGCCTCGGGGTGCGAAAGCGTGGGAATGTTTACAAGGAGAAGAAATGGTGGAGGAGAAGGAGGAGGAGGAGGAGGAAGAAGAACAGCAGTACCACCAGCACCACCAGCAATGCAGCAGGGTCGCTGAGCAGCGGCTGGAATCGGCCTCCGCAGCAGGAAGAACCCGAGATGCACCAACAATGTTGCAAGACACCTTCCCGTCCCAAGTCCCCTCCTGACTACTTACCAGACCACCCCAACCCAACCCGAAGACCCGAATTTGACCCCAATTTCGGGTTGGGGGGGGTACGGGTCCCATGTGTTTTTTTCAACGTTCCCCGACCCCCCCCACTGGAAATGGAGGGCACATTGAGGCCTTCGGGTTGGGTTGGGGTGGTTTGGTAGGTGGTCCCCTCCTGAGTCCTCACAAACATTCGTTCTCACCGCGCGCAGCGCCCCGTTGAGAAACCACGCACCGTTGGCCCACAGTTCAGGCCGCACGTTGACAGGGAACCCTCCTCCACCCGTGCGACTGTTATACGATTCTATACTTCGCATGCCTCCTGAGCGAAGTGCCCAAGCGAGAGCTCCATTTTTGACAGCATTATCAACAGCATTATCAACAGCATTCTCAACATCATTCTCAACAGCATTCTCATTTTGCAACATCGCCAGCATTATCAACAGCATTCTCAACATCATCATCGTCATCATCATCATGTTCATCCATCGCAAGTGCGGCCTCCGCTACCTCCTCGAAGGAGGGCCTCCGAACATGCTGGGCTGGCACGTTGGCGGGACTTGCCGCTGACAGCTCGATACAATTCTATACTTCGCATGCCTCCTAAACGAAGTGCCCAAGCGAGAGCTCCATTTTCGACAGGAGCCGACCCCCATCCGTGTAGCAGTTGGAACTGGTGGAACTACGTCAAAACGAATGTGCGTTGCGCTTCGGCGAGAGCGCCATGTTGAAAATATGCGTCCTCCGTCGTGAGATGAGCGTTTAGACGAGCGCGCGCGGCGCTGAAGCAAGAAGCCCCGAGAGCGCTCCAAGAGGACCCCCACGAGGGCCCCAAGAGGCAAGGATCCATGATTGTCATTGTGGCGTTCGATGTTGTTCGCGTGGTCCCCTTTTCAAGCTTCCGGCGCTCCAAGACGGCCCAAGGGCCCCCCCAAGACAGCCCCAAGACTGCCCAAGAGGCCCCCCAAGAGGGTCCCTAGGCGGCGCCCCAGAGGCTCCCGAATCAGCCCAAGAGGGCCCCAAGACGGTCCCACGAAGGGAAAGAGAGGGGGAACACGAAACGGCAAGTCCAGCCTTCCGCCCGAAGATGCCCCACAAGGAGACCCCAACAGGCCTCCAAGGAGCCCCACGAAGCCCATACGAGGCCTCCAAGATGCCGCCAGACGGCCCCCAAGAGGCCTCTAAACTACCTCCAACACGTCCCCGAGAGGGGGGCCCCCACAATATCCCAGCGATCATCATCATCATCATCATCATCATCATCATCATCATCATCATCATCATCATCATCATCATCATCATCCTCATCCTCATCCTCATCCTCATCCTCATCCTCATCCTCATCCTCATCCTCATCCTCATCAGCATCATCATCGTCGTCACCATCAGCATCAGCATCAGCATCAGCACAAGCATCATCATCACCAGCATCATCAACATCAGTATCATCAGTATCATCATCATCATCATCATCATCATCATCATCATCATCATCATAATCATATCATCATCAATATCATCACCACCATCATCATAATCATTGTCATCAACAAAAACACCATCATCAATATCATCATCGCCATCATCATCATCATCATCATCAGCATCATCATAGTCATCAGCATCGCCATCACCATGATCAACAGCAGCATCAACATCAACAGCAGCGTCAGCAAACTCGTCCGCATCATCAGCATCATCAACATCATCAGCATCAGCACCATCATCATCTTTGTCAGCATCATCACCATCATCGACATCAGCATCAGCATCATCATCGCCGGTGTCGTGAACATCGGTATCACCACCATCACCATCATCATCGGCATCATCATCATCAGCATCATCGTCATCATCATCATCATCACTACCATCATCATCGCAACCATCATCAGCATCATCACCACCAGCATCATCATCACCATCAGCCTCATCCTCCTCATCAACATCATCAGCATCACCATCAACGGCATCACGAACATCATCATAATCAGCATCATCGTCATCATCACTACAATCATCATAATAAGCATCATCAGCATCATTACCACCACCAGCATCATCACCACCAACATCATCACCACCAGCATCATCAGCATCATCATCCGCCTCATCGTCATCATCATCATCATCAACATCGTCAGCATTATCAACAGCATTATCAACAGCATTCTCAACATCATTCTCAACAGCATTATCAACAGCATTCTCATTTTGCAACATCGTCCGCATTATCAACAGCATTCTCAACATCATCATTGTCATCATCATCATGTTCATCCGTCGCAAGTGCGGCCTCCGCTGCCTCCTCGAAGGAGGGCCTCCGAACATGCTGGGCTGGCACGTTGGCGGGACTTGCCGCTGACAGCTCGATACAATTCTATACTTCGCATGCCTCCTAAACGAAGTGCCCAAGCGAGAGCTCCATTTTCGACAGGAGCCGACCCCCATCCGTGTAGCAGTTGGAACTGGTGGAACTACGTCAAAACGAATGTGCGTTGCGCTTCGGCGAGAGCGCCATGTTGAAACTATGCGTCCTCCGTCGTGAGATGAGCGTTTAGACGAGCGCGCGCGGCGCTGAAGCAAGAAGCCCCGAGAGCGCTCCAAGAGGACCCCCACGAGGGCCCCAAGAGGCAAGGATCCATGATTGTCATTGTGGCGTTCGATGTTGTTCGCGTGGTCCCCTTTTCAAGCTTCCCGCGCTCCAAGACGGCCCAAGGGCCCCCCCAAGACAGCCCCAAGACCGCCCAAGAGGCCCCCCCAAGAGGGTCCCTAGGCGGGGCCCCAGAGGCTCCCGAATCAGCCCAAGAGGGCCCCAAGACGGTCCCACGAAGGGAAAAAGAGGGGGAACACGAAACGGCAAGTCCAGCCTTCCGCCCGAAGATGCCCCCAGGAGACCCTAACAGGTCTCCAAGGAGCCCCACGAAGCCCATATGAGGCCTCCAAGATGCCGCCAGACGGCCCCCAAGAGGCCTCTAAACTACCTCCAACTAACCCCCGAGAGGGCCCCCCACAATATCCCAGCGACCATCATCATCATCATCATCATCATCATCATCATCATCATCATCATCATCATCATCATCAGCATCATCATCATCATCATCATCCTCATCATCATCATCATCATCATCATCATCATCATCCTCATCCTCATCCTCATCCTCATCCTCATCCTCATCC